GTTGCCCTAATGAATTCTGTGCCCATGAGATGTAGAAAAACATCTAGGTATGCAGCTTCTGCAAGATCAAATAAGCACTTCGTGGCATGTGGCCATCTGTAGAGCTTCTAAAACCCTTGCCAGTGATTTTCAGATGTTTAGAGATTGGAATGCTGCTGCAGCCGTACCTGTGTGGGATCGGAGGTGCACGGTGAGCTGGCTGGAGTTGCGGCTCGCGTAAGGGCAGATCTGGCACTTGAAGGGCCGCTCGTTGGAGTGGATGCGCTGGTGCTTGTTGAGGCTGCTGCTGTCGGCGGCCGCGTAGTCGCAGTGCTTGCACTTGTAGGGCTTCACGCCGGTGTGCGAACGCATGTGCATCTTCAGCTTGTCTTTACGGCTGAAGCACTTGTTACAAACCTCACATTTATGGGGCTTGTCTCCTGAGATGAACGGGAGAGCAGCAACACGTCAAGATTTTTGAATCATAAAAACGTTCGCAGAAAAAAAAAATAGCACCCAGTACACAGAATGCTAAAACAGCAATTGTGCTAGTTATTGAAAAAGCTTTTATAAAAGGCATGAACTGGATGCAGGATTTGAGATGCCAGTCTGCTAGCTAGCTAAGCTTTCTTAAGAGCTCTAAAAGGGTGCATATGCAAGTACAACAAACAATTTAGAAGACCTTTGGAAATTTCTCCAAAGAGCCATTTCAAATTTGTAAGGGGAGAACTTTTGAAATCTCTGTAATAAATTAAGGGCAAATTAGCAAATTATTAAGGAGACATTGTGCACTACCATATGGACACATGCAGATAAGCACATGGCTGGCATCTCAGCAACTTAGTTGTGATTTTAAGCAATGTTCACCTTTTTAGTTTCCCACCTGTGAACAGTATGGGCCAGAAACCTGGCTTACCAAAACGGGCAATTCTGAAACACTGAGAACTACAACACCAAAATGTACAGATAGATGTGTGTATTTTCTCTAATTTATCTATGACATATAATTCAGTGTAATTGCAATGTAATGTAGGAAAATACTTTTTAGCAAAAAGCAGAAAAGGATGAAAAAAATAAAATAAAAATACAGCAACTACATTAACCTGTATGTGTTCGCAGATGACGTTCCATATCCTTCATACCATAGGAAGTCTTGAACTGGCAACCTGAGAATGGGGCAGGGCAGGGAAGGGAA